AAATGATTAAAATTTATTTATTATATAATATAATTATAAAATAAAATTTAATAATATAATATAAAAGTGTGTAACAAAAAATAAAATTTTTATGACATTCATAAAAGTATCGTGCGTGTGTGCGTGTGTGTGTGTGTGTGTGTGTGTAATATTTATCATGACGAACTTATTATATATATTGCTGCATGTGGTTCTATCTTTTTTTCTTCATTACAGTATTGCTTGGACTTCATTAAATCATTATATATTCTCCATGTGCCGTATATTCTTCTGGTATACGCTATGTAATGTTGACTAGTATATGCGATTACCCCAGCCAATCTAAAAATTCAGTATAAGGCAATGATAAGTTATCACTGTATAATAAGTAATATTGAAAAATATTTATATAGTCACATATTTTATTATGTTTGCGAGAGTAAAATTATCTTATTTATAATTATTACAACTCATTTTGTGCGTTTCCATATTTTCTATCATTTTTTTTTATTATGCCTGTATTTTATTGTCATAGAAGATTTTTACTCAAATAGTTATAAAAAAATTATTTTTTGTGCATGCAATAAAATTAAATGTATTTTATTTCTTATTCATATACAAATTTTTATATAAGTTTTATTTATTCGACACATATTTTTAAATAAAGTTGAAAAAATGTATCATACCTATATTCCTGTTTTAAAATATTTATTGTTATAGGAAAATCTTTTAATTGACAACTAATGCCTGTGTTAGCATCTAAAGATACCCGAATATCAAGTTCGATATATAGATGTAAATTAAATTTAGCATATTCAGTGCGGCGTCCAGGACATTCAGATCGTTGACATTTAACATTCTTTATTTGAAAATTGTGATGAAGGGCTTCTTCCAAGCACATAAATCCCTTTTTATGAATTATTTGATGATTAACACCAAGTACTGATATATTACGTATCTCTTTTTGACATTCATGTGAGGAACATTCAGATATTTTAGTGACGCATGGTTGATCTTTAGTAAGATTTGTCCACATCACAGTAATATTATTATATACATCTATGATATGCACATTCCCAGCTTCTGTTGTTGGTAACTTTAATTCATTATTATTTAACAACAATATAATTCTCTCCTTATAAATAGTAGTATTTACACCGTTATTTAAAATTAATTGACAAAATTTTAGGAAATTATTATTCGAATTACTTATATAATTAAAATAATTTTCATCTTCTAAAGCAGTAAGTGTAATAATTTGAGCAATCGAGTCAAAAGAACAAGTATTTCTAATTTTATATGTAGTTCCATTGATTTTCAGTGGTTGTAAGAAAGAACCATTTCGAAGAAGAAATTTTTTTGTTGATTTTTTTAACTTACTGTTTTTCCTTATCAATATAATTTCCTTATCAATATTACTATTTGTATGAGTAATCTTTATATTATTGTCATGATGATTAATATCTAAAACATTATTGTTCATATTAGAAGTTACAATGGATCGTAAATGCATCTTGATAAATTTGTCTGCACGCAAAGGAGTTCGTACATTTTTGAAAATGTATTCCCGTAAGTCTTTAAAGTATTCTTCACAATGTGCTGATGTTGCACGTACATATTTTGAATTAAATATGGGAGCTAGAACTCCAGACCATAATGGAAATTCTAAACATAATCTTGTTATTTGTTTATAGAATTCAGGTAAATAAAAAACATTTAAACGAGAAGCTTTTTTATCATTATTTCCGCTTGCATTTTTAACTTCTCAATCCAAATATAAATTTCGTCACTATACTTATCATCCTCATTATTTGCATTCATTATAACACCGTTTTCTTCTATTTTGTAAGTAACTTCTATATGATCAATACCAAGACTAGTATGATGAATTTCAGTTGCAATATAATTTTCTAATTTTTTTTTTAGCTTCCTCTGCTGGTGAAGGCAATCCCGTACTATAACATCCTTCATATTGTTGAATACTGACAGTTAATGTAAGCAATAAAATTGATTCAAATTTTTGGAATGATTGACAACTTATCACAAGTGCAACACATCTCACAAAAAATGTTTTTATTTCGAAATGTTTTTTATCGAAACATTTCCAACGGCAAACAAGTTTTATTAAGTGTGCAACATCAACTCTTATGTATGTATCTGCTGGTCGAATAATTTTGGTATTGCAATTATTAATGGCAGAATAGCACGATGATACATAGGTATTCTTTAATAATCATAGGTATTCTTTAATCATTCGATTAAAAGCAGATGTCATAGCACCTAAAAAAGCTCTCGAATAATCAGAAATTGCTTCTTCTGGTTTAGTTGCACCCGTACGTAACCATTCTTTAATCCAATATTCAATGGAATTGGTTTCATGTTTCTCAGATATCATCTCATGAACTGGTATTGTTAATCCATCAATGTTTACAACAATGACATATAAAAATATGTGGCCACTCTGTAAACCATTTGCAATTTTTATTTTTGAGACAAAACTTCCTGTTGCATCCATAGCAATTCTTCTATATGTTTTTTCCGACAATATTCTTTGTATACATGCATTTGCGTTGGAGTTCTATAATGCACACAAACTTTATCTAAACTGATTTCATGTATGCTACCGGAGTATGGAGATGTGTGTTTCATTTTCCTTATAGTATAAATTGGATCTTTGCCGTCTTTTGGACCAACATCTAAAGTTTTGTCGTGATGTTCTTGTTTTACTTTACGAAGGACATATGATTCATATAAAAGAGGAGGTTCAATATCACCAATTCTCATTTCTTGCATGGCTAACCTTCTTCGCCAATTTGAGACTCCTTCAACTAATAAATCTTTACCAATCATTTGTCGTTTTTGAAAACGAAGTTGTCGTTTTATTTTCTCATGTGGAATTGTCGATGTATCCTTTGTAACACACCGCATAATCAAGCCTTCTCCTCTCTTAGGTTCTGTATCTATACATAAGCGGTAAAAGGAGATCCACAGGTTTTACTTTTGCATTTCCCATTAATTATAATAAAATGAGAACGTTTATCAGAAAAGAAAACTTTTGCTCTTTTAAATACATATGCACATGGTAATCTAAATTGACGCCAGAATTCATCGCTAATAACATTACTCCAAGCACCAGGCTTAAGGCAATCATATCTTTTGTCCTTATATTCTATGTATCCAGCTTTTATTTCAGTCCAGAGTTCATATGTTATATAAAGATTAAATGTGCTTAAATTATGATTCTCTTTAGAAATATCCAAAGAAGTATTTGATTGTTCAGTAGTATCTAAGGAGGACGTTGTATCATTTTTGCATTTTTCAAGATTATTTTCTTCAATATTTAAGTTTAATTTTATTTGAGTTACAATTCCTCGTCTATTTTCACGCACATTTATATAGACACTATGTGGATTCCATTTATTTTTCAAAGCGTCACTAATATCCTGCCATATTTTGGAAGTGTATGGTGGTAAATTCTTATCTTTTAAAAGAGCATCACTAAACATTTCAAGAGCTGCTACAGCTTCGTTTACTGGTACAGCAGAAATACGTGGCATCTGTAAAAGGTTAAAAGCTGGATTTACAAAATATAATGAACAAGTGTTATTCAAAATTTAGATCAGAACGAGAATCTTATGTAAAAATAGGAAAATTCTAAAAAAATTGTTAGGAACCCTTGTAGAAAAGTATTACTAATTGTAAGTATTTTGAGGCATTACTATCCCATACAACATTTTCACGTCTTAAAGACGGCTAAATGACGTCCGAAAGTCCCAAGTTATATTTCAAGACGACTTAAAAAGACATCCAAAAGACATCTTGTGACGGACGTCTAAAAGACGTCTCAAAAAGAGCGTCTTTGGTATTTGACTAAAAGTCGTGTTAAAGACGTCTTTCACACACATCTAAATACTCACATCAATACTCCTAGAGTTCAGTAGAAATACTTTTCTACAAGGGAAGACAGTAAAATTTGTAATACATAAATCTATGATCTAAAATAAGGAACAAACAAATTAATGCATTCAGCAAAAAAAGCAGCTGCAATTGTAAAATTCTTGAATATGATTGGCTTATACATCTAATGAGGAAATAAGGGCAAGATCAATCATATTAAAGAATTTTACAACAGTTGCAAAGCTGCTTTCTCTGCTGAATGCAGCCAATGATTCCAATAATTTATTATAAAACTGATTTCTTTAAACAGTATTTACAATATAAAATAGTTAACCATTAAAACGAGGTAAAGGACAATAAGAGTCAATTCGTAAGTAAACAAGAAAGCGATTATAACATTAAAAATATAATATGGATTTTCAAGAAAAAGAATACAAAAAAATATACATAGCCGCTTTTAACAATATTAAAAATAAGAATATCGGTCAATATATAATAATATAAAAAATCGCTCGATGTAATATGTCGTAACAAGTTTCGACTCTTGGTTTGAGTCCTCTTCAGACGTTCAACAAAAAAATATAATTCCTTATTCCAATGTATAATTAAGACGAAACATTTCTCACTGACTCCTCGATTTCTCTCTTCGTTACACAACATTGGCAATACAAGATATGGCAAAGTCGTATATTGAAACAATGTATCTGTAACTTGGCATGAGAACAAAATCAGAAAATGTGAAAATAATAAAATTCAAAAAGAAATGTCTAACTCACCAACGAAAACGATTTGTCAGTTTACAATATAAAAGTTAATTAAAATAAAGGAAGTCATAGAGTAAAATGAACATAAAAGTAATAACACAAAACATTTTCATAGATTTGCAATAGTGGGGGGGCCAACTTCACATAGCCATTTAACAATTCATCTTTCAGTCTTCTTTTTCTTACAGAAAGCAATATCCATCCTTGTTATTGCATAAGTAACTGAGAATAAGGGGTTCCTGGCATATCTCATTACCAATTAAGACGTTGCGAGCGTGATTACGGACCACACGAAATCACGTGTTGAATGTTCTATGGTTACGCGACTCGGTTAACCCGCGTGTTTTCGGTACTCACCCGCGGTATTAATCAAGCTCTGATAGCGAATGCAATTTCACGAATCGCGGAGAAATCGGTTTCTCGTTGAGAAACGCGCTCAGCAATGGATGCCTCCGCTCGCACTCGACGAGCGCGCAAATCGCGCGATTTCCGTGCGTTTTCCAATCAACGATCGCCCCGCCGCCCGACGCTGACGATCTAATTAAAGCTCGCACGCGGAATTCCGTGCGTTCCACGTGTAATCGGTTTAAACGTTTGCGCACACCGCACGGCACCGCTTAATTTCTAAGCCATGAAAGAGAGAGAGAGAGAGGGAGAGAGAGAGAGAGAATGCGGACGTATACCTCTTGTGTATATAAATCTCCGCCCCGCACGCTTATTTACGCGCGTCGTAAATATGCATTTGTCTCAAGATGTGGTAATGAACCCGGAGAGCACACGGGCGGCTAGTTAAACAACTCATTAAAACGCTGTCGCGAAACTGATCGTTCGTAGATTATTATTATTTCACCAGCCGACGAACAGAAATGATTAATACACTCCGTGCGCGCGTAAGTCGCGAAGCACACAAATAATTAAGCGTGTATACTTTTTTATACAGATTCAAATATTTCTCGATGATATCTTTCGAGGTAAAAATGTTATCAAAGAGAACAGCTGAGCAAATTAAAATTGAAGAAGAAACAAACAAGATAAAAAATATATAAGACACAACATAAATTATTTCATGGAATTTATTTCTACCCAATTCCAAAAGATATTAATGGTGTTTATCCAATTACTACTACTACCGTTCTCTCTCTTTCTCTCTGTAAAATTTTATTAATATAAATGTTCGGAATTGTAACTATGATCGTTAAATTGATGCCCCAATGTAAATGCTATCGTCGTCAAGCAGTTAAGTACTCCCGCATAAAATTGATAGTGCTGATATCAGCTCTTTTTCGTAGTCGCATATTGAAATGATAACGTGCGTTATCGTTAATGCGATATCAGTTGGGTTGGTCGGATGGTCCTATTTCAACGTATTAAACCAAAATTGTGTCCATGGGTAATACGGGTTCTAAAGAGAATGTTATTTCGGAGGAAGCCCTCAACGAATATGTCGAGCTGACGTACTTAAACAAAAGTGAAATTCGTCAGTGCGTATACATGCATATTTGATTCGTGTACGATATAAATAATTTTGTTGGATTATCAAATTAATTATGTAGTTAACTTAAACATGATGAGTAATGTCGCAAAAAGTTTTAATAGTCTAACAAGCAGATTGAAAGTCTTATGTAATTAATTATTGTGATAGTCCAACAAAGTTATTTTCAGATTCATATTTAGCTTTTTAAATAATTTAACACGGCCATGACTTTTCTTATGTACATATGTCAATAACGTATAGTGCATCAAAACTTCTCACACTTTGAGAAGCATTCTAAAAATGATTCAAAAGTCAAATCTGATTAGTCCTGCAGGGTTTTTCTTGTTTTTTATAAATATGGACATATAATCGTTTTTATGATCTTTATCTTCAGTATTTTATTTATGTTTAGATAAATATAACACTCAATTAATATATTTTAATATACAATTTAATTGTAACTGTCTAACTTATCATTGTCAGGATTTATAAACGTCTCGACGATTTGGAATCAGGTATCCTTAAACAAAATCTTCATTATCGTTTCTCTTTGGAGCAAATCAACAAAATCCTTCCACAGATTCGCGTAAGCTTTAAATTTTATTATTTAACATTTTGATATGCAAAATATATTTTTTATTTTTTTGGAGAATTATTTTACAATTGAATTATAATCGCATTTTGAATGAACAATGTTGAAAAGTTCCGGTAGCAAAGAGCATTGGATTATCACGGTACACAACGTTTTCGTTAGCTCTAAACATCGCGTATATTGCGCAGCAATAAATCCTTCTTAAGCGATGGTAAGCTGCTACCATTTTTTTCCTGCGAGCTAGAAATTTCGTTATTTACACGAGGTGATGATTAACTGCGATACGAGGAACGAAACATATTGTGTTTTTCAAATATTATACAGAGTATCTCAAGAGATTGGTCTTATATATCAATATTAATTATCAAGATTTAATATTAAAATTGCTGATTTAAAAATCTATACGTACATATTATATGTATATTATAATATGTAATAACAGCAATTTCTTGATGGAATTTAATAAGCAAGAGAGAGTAAAACCGAGTAAATATAAACTGAAAATTCTTGGAAGATTCGAAGAAAAGGAGGCTCCTGCTCACTATCTCAAATTGTGATATCAAAAGCAAGAAAATACATATATGGGGATATATATTTTAAACAATACTTAAATTAGATAAAATTAACTTATAAAATACATCAAAAATTTTTTTCGATTCACTAAGTAATAATAATTATACATATATTTAAATATTAATTATATATAAAACGGAATGAGCTACGTTCATAGTTATGACAAACTAATGTAATTAATTAACAATATACAGAAATAAATACGATTTAATTTCTCTCCAAAATAAAAAAATACCTTTTGATACATTTTATAAATCTTTATTCCAGCGATTGCAAATATTTTATTGAAAAATATTTTAATTTAAATAAAATTTATAAGAATTTTTATTATACACTTTCTCGCTTTTACTACTTCACAATCTGAGATAATAATGGCGAGTGAACAGGAGCCTCAAATATTTTTATTTCTTTATGCAATTTATTTTAGTCTTCAAGAAAAACAAAAGACCATAAAATACAGAACATGTGATATATTTTTAGTGCAATCCCTTCTGTGACGTGATATATCGCGTGTTCTCGTCGAAGCAAGACGGACATTTAAGCTTTGAAGATACTCTCGACCTCTGTTCGGCATTCTCTATGAATTGTCCGCGGAGTGTTCGGGCTGCATGGGCTTTTGAAATTTTCGGTAAGCTCACAGACACAATTGAATCTATATTTGCAGGTTTTTGTGTGCACGAAATTCTAACTTTCGTCCTGGCAAATATTTGCCACCCGCCAATCCTACGCAACCATTACACATACTCGCGAACAATTCCTCAGTCATTAAAATTACAATTACAAAACTTCATTGTTTGCTGGTAGAGGAAAAGTCTTGATGGCAGCTTTCATAGAAGTTATACGTATTTTACCAAATGTGTATTTGAAACGCCTTGGACAAAACATGGTAGTTTAAAGATTCCTTAAACAATTTTTATTTTACCCGGCTAGTTTAGCCGTAATCGGCTTGTTTGACGTAATGTAATAATTTGTCTAGATATTCCAACACAGTATATTATAATTATGCAAATAATGTGTAAGGGGTACAAGTTTGCAGACCATCGTCGAGTATTCGTATAATAGTAAACGGTGGCTTGCAGTCAATTTCGTTAATCGGAATCGTTTAATTTCTCGGAGCCACGTCAATTACCGTAGAAATGGAAACGCGCTCTCGCAGCAATCTGCCGATGCAACTGCGACTCCATTCAGATAAATTGGATCATGTTATGTTGATGATACAGTATGGAAAGTGTCATTTTGTCACAATCTTTAATCATATCCGAGAGATGCTCTACTTTCCGTCATTTAAATTTCAAATTCATCTCCTCGGTTTATAATAAATGTTGCTTATTTTGACACTACATAACGTGATGCACGATTTAATGGGAAATAAATCAACATTAATTGTATATTTATGGTATTGTAAAAAAACTTTGTATATTTTATTATAAATATTCGAAACAATATATTTTAAATTTCATTAAACATAAATAAATAAGAATAAACGAGTAAATAAATAATACAATTCTAATCAAATAGATCAAATTATTATTCAATTTAATTAATTGTTAAAAATTATTTTGAACTTATCTCAAATTTTTTAAATCAATATCAATAAATATTCAGTTTTCCATGATACAGCAAAATAATTCTTTTCACTTTATACTGATCTCTGGCTCTGTCTTGTCAATTTTAATCACCAACGTTACACAAGCACACGCGCGTACTCGCAACTCGTTCGTTTCCAATGCGTGAACGCAAACAGCGACAAGTGCTGATCATCTTCATTTCCAGATTTCGACGGCGACAATCAAGTCTCTCTCGATGATCTGATCGAAACGGTACGGAGATTGGCGGGCACGGATGAGCGCGGGCAGGACCGAATCGATCAGCAACAAGCGGAGGACGTAGCACGAATGGTCAGTGTGCATTCCTGCTGTGCGTCCTCAACGCAACTACAAAGGATGGAATCGGGAAGCGATTAATCCTTTTGCCAAAAGCCGAGAGGCCGCTTTCTATTGCAACAAATTTCCGATGGCCGTTACAGGTTCCGTGGTAGAAAGTAGGTGAATTGAAAGGAACTGCCTTCTGTGCGCGCGAGGAGAAATTAATTCTATAAAATTGCACTCGCGCTATCTTCAAAGCCGGGAATCGCTTCTAAAATTCTGCGAACTGTTTCTCTATTTCTCCAATGCTTTAACAAAAAAAAAAAGGAATTACTTTTACATTCTACTATTAAAATGCACAAAACTTTGATATTTTTAACAAATTTCAATAGCAAAGAGCCAAAATAATTCGACAAAGAGGTGATAAATCAATACATAGATATACGTTATAATAATACATAAAAAAATATAATACAAAACATATAAAGATCAAAATAATACAAATAATATAAACGTTTCGACTCCGTTCGGGTCATTTTCAATGTAACAATAAAATTTAAATTAATAATCGCAATAGAAAAGACTCTTAAGTTAGTATATTAATATCTTTTTTTTTTAAACAATACAAGTTATTCAATTAGAGATTTAATCTATATGAAATAAAATTTTTTCCTTTCTTTTTTCTATTAATTTCTTTTAATTCACCTATCTTTTGCAAAACGCAACGGACATCATATAATAAAAAAATTCCAATAATCAGGAGGCAAGTGAGAGTGCAACGTTGTTGGTAATCAATCACAAATGGATCCTTATCAAATCCTTTATTTCTGACAAATATAAATAGTACGTTTCGACTCTTTTTTTGAATCCTCTTTAGCTAATCCACTCACTTGCCTCCTGATCATTGGAATTGTTTTAATCAAGAGAGTTCGTAAAGAGATTACGTTTTGAATTTGATCATATAATAATTCATGATTGTTAATGGTCTTATTTTTTAGATGTTACAAGAAATGGACCTCTCTGACGCAAACATTGCGCCACAAGAATTTATACAACTGCTCTCCAAAATGCCAGACTTCGCACATACGTTTCAATTTAAAATTAATTAATTTGGCAAAAAAATAACTCATCTGTATGAATTTTTCGAAACTAATTTTTAAACTTTTTAATTCTAATTTTTTTATGTAAAGAACGTTGAAGTAAAAATGACCCCTTATCCTAATATTAAATAACTCTAATTTTGTTGAGAAACTGCAAGCAAATTTCAAGATAAAATAGCTTCGTCAAAAATCATCGTATCAAGATGTTTAAAAAAGCATTTAAAAACTTGGAATCTCTACTTTTCAGATCGGTACTTCAAAAAACGATCTTATTGATATTTCGTGAAGTTACACAAACATAAATAAAAATGCGTCAAATCTGAAAATTGTTTACGAAATTTGTGAAAAAGAGATTTCAAAAGTAAAAATTTCAAGCTTTAAAATGTTTTTTCAAACATCTCGATACAATGATTTTTGACGAAGTTATTCTATCTCGAAATTTGCCTATTTTTGCAGGATAGAACAAGTGATCTTTTAATTTTTTTTAGTAGTGTATTTTATATTTTGTATTTTTATGTTGTATTAACATTGTAAACTAGAAATTTTTTATATAAAAAAAAAATTATTATACCGCTCGATTTAGACCGGTTTTTTTTTTAATACTTTGCATTGCAAAAAACGAGTGAAATCTAATTATTTCATGTTTTATCATAAATAACTTCGTTTCAGACTATTTTGGCGTTACTCAAAATGTACCACGTTGGACCCCAACGATTGGAGGCATAGTCCGCTTAGCTTCCTTCTTTTTTCTTTTTTTTAATTGTTTGATATTTGTAAAAATATGATTACATTATTTTTACAATCAAGAATAAACATGAACAGGTATTTAAATCGAATCAAATAAGATGTTTAAAATAACCACCTTCAACACAAATGCAGGCTCTTATTCTTCTAAAAGAATTCCGAACTCTGAAATACATTTCCGAAATGAAGTTATTTATGTTAAAACACTATAAAATAAATTGATTATTATAACAAATAAATTACGAGTTATTTAATACAAAAATGACATTAACTCGGAAACAACTTATTTCCAGACCTTATGTTTATATAGCTTTTTTCCTTTTTTTTTTTTAAGTTCCGAATTACTTCTCGAAATGTGGGGCAGACGATTTTCCAGACAAAAAATTAGATTATTCTATGGTAACTCGCTTTATTAAAAAAGTTTACTAATTATTTTAAGAATAAAAAAGTTTAATAATTACTTTAACAATAAAAAAAAAGATAATACATGATTTTTAATTAAATACATTGAAGTTCCATTTCCAAATAATCTTTTCATGTCTTGAATCTCATGTCCCATTTAAATTCCATTACATGTACAATTTAAGTATCATATTACCATACATATCAAGCATTATATTATTATATAAGAATCACTGATTTTCTTGTTGTTACCCATGTCAAGTTTTGATTTGTTCGTCTTTGAGACCTCTCTAATTTTCTTTACATGTGAACTAGGATTAGAAATAGGATTAGGAAAATTATCATATTTTGCATGTCCTCCGAAGCCATCAAAACTCATGCCACTGCCACTGATAGTTTTCTAAAATATATAAAGATGAGAAAATCATAAAAATTGTAACAAATTTCAGACATAATATTATATGTGGGTGGTTTGATAAGTCTGGTAAATCTTAATGAGATAGTGCCACAAACCATTTGATGATGTGACATCTGGACAGTATCACTCTTCAAACCTTTCTATGTCAATTTCAGCCAAAATTGACGCATTGTTCACGTTCGATCATCATTTCAAGCGAGCGAGAAGTTTAGCAGTCGCTGCATAGAAAAATTGAAAAAAATTAATTCCGTGTAAAATTACAAAATTAGACTTTGAATTAATTTTTCATTCATCCTATTACCTGGATTTAAAATAGAACAAAGAATTATTAAAGCTTAATTCTGCACGAAATTCGTTCTTTTTCCATTTTTATACGCAGCAACTTTGAAAACTTCTCACTCGCTTCAAACGATAATCGAACGTGAGCAATGCGTCAATTCTGGCTGAAATTTGGCACAGAAGGGTTCGAAGAATACTTTTCAGATGTTACATCATCAAATAAATTGCGGCACTATCTCATAAAAATTTATCGAACCTACATATTAAATATAAGTGCAAAACAGTTTACTTGACTTTGTTGATTAATCATTGATTTTTTCATAAGTGCCGGAGGTATTCTCCAATTGTTATTAGGTCTCTTTACAGCACGGTTTTTTATCGAAAAAAGGTCCTGCGATTTACTTCGTGGAATATTCTCGGTACTATCCTATAAAATAAATATTATCCTGGTATTAATATATCCAAAATAAATTTAGCAATTAATGATAATGTAATTAAATGCAATAAATTGTAGTTTACCAGATCTACAATGAAATCATTCTTTTTGAGTTTTGAAATGTCCATTTTTGCCATAGATGCATTCGTATTAGATTTTGCGATACAAGGTTCCTTATGCGTTTTTAAACTCTCTTGCTTGCAGTTCTCTTGCTGCATGAGTACTTTATTAGAGACACATTCTTGTGCATCAGTCTGCATATTAAAAAGCTGAGTTTGTAAAGATATCTTTTCGGTTTCACAGCGTTGTAATTGTTTTTCCAATTCTGTATAACGTTCTTTCAATTCACTAAAAATATATACGATAATATAATCCCTAAGGATAATGATTCTAAAAAGATAATAACTGAATATATCAGAACATTTATATATAATAATTCTTAGATAACAAAAACTCCTGTATAAATCAAAAACAAACTTAGAAAGAAAAGAGCACTAGGAGTCCAGCGCAGATAACTTTACGAAACGCCGATATATATCAAGCAAATCTATTTATTATAATTGTGTTTACATGTTTCGACACATTTTTGAGCCTTCTTCAGAGACAATGAAAATTACATAGATAAAATGTTTGTTTATTTGTTTTTTACATAGATAAATTATAATTTAAAAATAACAAAGAATCAAAAGATGTTTAATCATAGTGAGCTCCCCCACAACCGAGAAATAAAATCTGATGACAATTTCATCTTAAAGAACACAATAATATGAATAATAAAAGAAGGAAGGAAAGAAATAAATAGAATGCTGAAATTTTGGGAAAATAATTTCCCAGAATTTCCTAGAAAAATAACAATTTCAAAATTAGATTTATCATAATTACAATTATTTTACCGGGAGTGAGGAGGCTCACCATGTTCACAACGATACTGTATCGCAAACACTCTCAAAACCAGTTTTCAGAATAATTAGGCCAGTCAGTCTCAGACACAGTGAGTCACAACAAATTACTTGACGGTATTACATTAAATTATCAAATCGCAAATATCAAATGCTAAGACTCAACCACTGTGCACAAGCGAGACTGACTAGGATTATTATTTATTTATTTTCCCAGAATTTCAGCATTCTATTTATTTCTTTCCTTTCTTCTTTTATTATTCATATTATTGTGTTCTTTAAGATGAAATTGTCATTAGATTTTATTTCTCGGTTGTGGGAAAGCTCACTATCTTTTGATCCTTTGTTATTTTTAAATTATAATTTATTTATGTAATTTTGTCTCTGAAGAAGGCTCAAAAATGAGCCGAAACATGTAAGCACAATTATAATAAATAGATTTGCTTGATATATATCGGCGTTGCGTGAAGTTATCTGCGCTTGATTCCTAGTGCCCTTTTCTTTCAAACATTTATATACTTTTGTTTAGCACATTCCTGTACCAAATGTTTATTTTTTTTGGAAGCATCCATGAATTTTTGCTGTTCATTTTTCCATTTGTCCTTCAACTCTTTGTTCTTCCCATATATTTTGTTAAGTTCCCTGAAAAATTCAATATAAAGTCCATAATATTATATTATACATATAATATATGTCCACACATACATTATATGTAAATCAATCAAATATATGTAACATGTCAATATAGAATACCCTTTTAACACCGTTATGTATGTTACAAGTTTGGAAGTATCATTTGTCTTCGATATTACATCATCCACTTCAGTTGTAGAAGAATCTAGGAGATTTTGTACGCTACAAAATTAACATTTAATTACAAGATTATATAAAAAATTGAAAATTGCACATATATCTCTAAAATGCATATAATTATAATAAACATACTTTCTTAAATGTTCAATTTTTTTCTTTAACTCGTTATTCTCTTTCTTATCATTCTCTGTGGCCATACAGTACTGTTTATAAGATATAATCTGCTCTTTGTATGCATAAATTGCATTTACTTTTTTAGTTATTTCACTTTCAACTTCAATAATTTTCTGTTTTAATTTGTTTGTTTGATATTTCAAGTTCTTATTGTCCTCTGTAAGATTATTAAGATCTTTGTCTTTCAGTTTTAGCTGAAAATTCATATTGTCAATTCTATTCTGCAGAGTTGCAACATCTTCTTCGATGACGTCATTTGAAAAGTTGAAATATATCCTATGTGATGATTGATGAGTTGCCTTTAATCGACATTGTGGACAAGTCTGTGATCTGAAACAATTCCATAGATAAAACTAAATACTTTCAAGTGTAAACAATAACAAAAGCTTTTAGGAATTATATAAAAGTTCATGAAACTTTTTTTCATAATAAGTAGAAAGAGAGTAGGAGCATAGTATGACAGTACACTGGCCTATTATGTCAAAGATCCAGGGTTTGATCCTGGTATGAACCAAAATATTTTTATGCCCGTATCTCCTCTCGGAAAAGGCCGAGCAACCTTACTAAGAGTTATCTTATCATGGATTTATATATTATCAGTTAGAGTATCCTTGCCAATAGAAACACCTCTCAAAAAAATTTTAAAACTGGCATTAAAACTATAAGTCCTATATGCTTGTGACAATTGAACAATTAGTGTATGTGTCAGGCTCAAAGACCGAAAAAACCGACCTCGATGCGTTTTGGCTTTTGACCATTTTAACTTAGCCAGAATGCGTATTGGTCAAGAAAACCACAACACGAATTTTGTATGGTGACTGAATCTCAAAACCATGTGGTCGGTTTTTTCGTTTTGTGAACGTTTTTGGTCTTTGAACCTAACAAATGCATCACAAGCTTATGAGAGATATAACACAGACCGGAGACCTCTAATGTAAGAGAGAAAAGAAGAGAATGCACAAATATTTAATGCAGTTAAATTACCTGTCAAACCATTGCAGCAAGCACACATAGTGGAATATGTGCCCACACGGTGTATGGAAAACATCGTCAGATGGTGTCAATAACTCGCTACATATCACGCACACTATATTCATTTTATATAGATTGATTGATGAAAAATCGGCGAGGATATGTCTGATTGCAGGTATGTAACAACTGACTCTAAATTAGATGGCTGTTACAGATTTCACGATGAAGTTCCCATATTTTATCAAATGTTATATTATTGTAAGTCACAGATGTAACTGTGTTGCGAGCACTTCGTTCACTGTTGCAAATTATAAAATTTAAAAAACTATGTATACAAATTACAAAAAACATGAATATCAATTTCTTTATTTCTGACTGCTCGGCTCAGCTCGGCTTCGATTCCGAAAACAACAAAACCAAACTAATGACTCCTACATAATACACACTGACAGGAAACAACTAGAATACTGGATGTGAGCATGGTCGACCATGGATGTGGGAATGCTTGCTACAACGCCACATGCCACATGGGCGGCAAAATGTAACGGTCGGACGAGAGGATCCCATTTGCCTACAATCCCTATTGCATACACCACTCACATTGGCCGGTGCCTAGTCACTTTTCTCTGCTTTACCAATAGGTCTGTTAGTGTTGCATAAAATCCCCAAATAATTTTGCACTTAAAGTGAGATAGATGTATATTTGGCTTTAAAAAGAAAGAAAGCGAAGATGGTAAGTGCAAAAAGTGCAAGCAACGCGAACAGACCTATTAAGGGGATCCTAAATTACCCTATAGGCCTCTATATTACCGACAAAATCGTATAATTTTTGTATCGTAAATACTTTTTTTGTAATTCACAGATTCGAAAATCCTTTTACAGAATTAAAGTATACGCATTAATACGTATCTGTGAGGTAGAATCTATGCTGAAAACGATAAAAAATTTCAAAATTGAACTCAATTTGTTTGAAAAATATCCTAAAACAGAAGACTCCATACGGCTGTTTCGATATGCAATTCGAAATAAATGCAATAATGCTAAAAAGTGAAATACTTTTGAAATATTGTAAAAAAGTGCAATATTGTACGTGTTACATATAACATTATATTATATTATATATGAATTATATTAGAATTTTAGATATTAAATATATTAAATTGTTTAAAATAGTATATAATTATTGTTAATTTAAAAACATTTCACAGAGCTGCTCTGAGAAGTTGGCATCCTTAAATGCGAATTATGGTAAAACCATTATTGCATTCGTTTGTCCACTGTTTATCCACGTTTGTCCACCCTATTTTTATTACATTTTTCATAACAATGAAAAATAATTACCTGCTCTGAACCAAAAATGTACGTAAATACAATAAAAATATTCATTGGTATTAATAAAAACTTTATTAAAATTGGTCCAATGAACAATTTTATTCCTATAATGATTTAGGTTTTATAAAATGATTAACTTGAGTTATTAAACTATTACCAGAATTCATTGTGACAATGAATATATACATTAATAGCCTGCCATGGATTTATTATAATAACCAAAAACTTTATTCATTCAATGAATAATAATACATATAAGGAATTCGATTATTGAGCTAATAATGTACAGACTTTATTAACTAATAAAAAAATGCGTTAATATAATGAATGTATTTTATCACTTCTATAAAATTTTATATTAGACACCTAATGAATGAATTTATTAAGTCTATGAACAAATTTGTTGGAAGAATGAACGTTTTCATTAATTCAATTAAATGTTCGAAAGTTATGATATATTCAAGTACATCATATTAATAAACAGTGATTTGTTATATTAATAAATCCAGTTATTAGCTAATGAAAAATACTCAATACAATATTCATAATATCTATTAAAAGTTTATTATATCAATGAATTTCAAGTCGATAAATGTCATTCATTGATACTATGAACAACATTTTTTTCAGTGTGGGGATACTAAATCTTTTTTTGTGTATAACTTTTTCTTGGAGGGTGGACAAACATTGACAAACAATGGACAAACGAATACAATAATGGTTTTACCATAATTCGCATTTATAGGGGTGCCGACTTCACAGAGCAGCTCTGATTAGAGCTAACACAACAGTGATTAGATATTTTTGATATGTAACGAGCGATCTACGTTTCTTTATGAAATCTTCTTTATTGGTTTTGAAAGATGTAACATCTAATTTTAGAATTTGATGCGATAGATATGTTTACAAGATTTACAAAGATGAGTTTAAATATGTATTAGCTAAAAAAGACTAAAAAAAAGTCGAAACGTTATATTTATCAAGAATAAAGGATTTGACGAGGATCTATTTGTGTTATGGATTGCATACCAACAACAACGTTGTACTCTCACTTGGCTCTCTGTTTAACGAAATTTTTTAATTTAAACTCTTAAAAATTTTCTATACTTTAAATTTCGTGTTTTTAAATATTTTATATAAATTCCCAAATTTCTATATTTACGCGTCAAACTCATAAAATTAAAATTAATAAAAATCTAAATTTAAAAAATTTTAATTTATTTTAATTTTAATTAAACAAATTTTGAATTTTATATAAAAACTTTATATTCCAACTTTTAAAATTTAATTGCATATTCAAAAAATACTTTTAATTTTTAATTTTAAAACTATAAAAATTTTTTTAATGAAATTTAAAAAATTTAATGCCACACAATAAAATGTCAACATTTGTTATTATCTAATAATACCTAATAAAATGCCAATGTAAATGTTAAAATTTCATATTTACATAATAATCATAAATAAATTATTCGGAAAATAATACATAATTATATATAATATTTTTTATTTCTATAACAATATATGTTACATCATAATATTTACTGTAATATTTACAATATTTACATAAATGTAATGCCCACGAGTAAGCGTTGATACTTAATCACTTGCAATTATATAATTAAATAAAATCAATAGGCAGAACATTTATATTGCTGGTCATCAAGAAATATAGCTACATATCTATTGTTATCACTTCAATAATTTTTGTGAACAAATATAATAATTGAAAACGATTCAACAAAAACGAAAAAACGTAATTTTTTTGCGAAAAAATCTTATTGCTAGCAAAATTTTTTCAAGATTGTCACAAGTTTCATATCTCTGTTTAAATATAAAAAAATGTTGTCTCCAAAATACTACATAATTTATAACTTAGAATCTTCCTGGTCTTCCTCCTGCTTACAAGAAAGCTCAACTTTAACACTTTGTGTAGTTTTCGCCTGCTCCTCCAAGTTGCTCAGGTTCGGCGAACTCCAAGTCTGACTCAGGATTGTGTCCACCGTGGGTATACTATCGGTGGTTTTTCTACGGTTCGATGGTGTGCCAGATAATCTTGACCGGAGGGTACCCTTCTTTTTCCTGGAATTGCTGATCGATCGATCTCGTCTTGTTATCAAGTACTTGGGAGAACTCTTGGTGCTCGAATGACTAATTGATTTGCCGCTGATTATGGACATATCGATTGTCTCTGAAGCAAATGGTTGCTGACAGAAGACCCGTGTACATCGAGATTGATGTGAAAGTCCGGACCATGAGCCATCATTATTACCTTCCTCAGTGTCGTAAATGTCCGATATGTTATCCACTCTCTCCTCCGCAAATGCAGAATTCACGACGCCTTCCTGGTTCTTCTCACCCTGCGATGAAACGCTGGGTCGTCCCTCGGAATCTCCGACGGATGGCCGACGATGCAAGTTCTTGAACGAGTCCTTCGCCCAGGGACCTTCGATTTCAACGACAGTCGACGTAGGAATTGCCGGCGTCGAAATCGACGATGTCTGAACAGGATGCGGGATGTTAGTAGCGCTCGGCCAAGGACGCAACATTGGCTTAGGAGTTTTCGTCAAAACCGGGAAGAAAGGCTTTGCGGTGCGAGATGCCGAGTTCTTTGTCAACAAAGAGAACTTCCGGACGGCCTCGACTATTACCCGTCGCTGTTCCGTTTCGACCGGTAGTTGCTCTTGACCATCCAGTTGCATAACCGTTTCGGAACAATTGTGAGCCATCTTCGCAGATGTTGAAGGGGACCCGCTGATCTGGCTGAAACAAACGAGTCTAACTTATGGAGTTCCTCGAAGCTTGTTCATCTTGGTATTAAAATGGAATAGAAAAGAGAAACTTTGAAATGAATGAAACTTTGCTTTCTTACGAGTACATCAAAAACTTTAGGTACAGCTTCCTCGCACATTAAAAAATATATTAGAATATTAGAAATACATAGGTTGGACATATGTTACTTTATAAAAATAACACGTCATCATTATCATTATTGTTAAGTAATTTTTTACTAATTTTAACTTTCTAATCACCTTCGAGTCTTTTACGACTCGAGCGTTTTTAAAAAATTCTAGTTTATTAATGAAAAGATTAAGTTTTGTGATATTGGTATTGTATTCAACTTTCTAAGCACAATTAGCTTGATCTACAATAGATTTTTAAGCCTTAAGCCATAAGAGCTGGATAAATCATAGTTAATTATTCTCATCGCATTCGACTGTAATTGGTCAATTTCTTACGGCTTAAGATTTAAAACATCTATTGTAGATCCCGTTTTTAGATGGTTAAAAAGTAACGCGTTATCGTTACCTTTATTGGGAAAGATTCATTACTTTTTGTTGTGTTAAAATAAAATATTCAATTTAAAAATTACATTATTTAATAATCAATTAACGATCAATATTGATCTAAATTGTAACAATTAATATTAATCTATGAATTTATGAGAATAAATATATCAATGTGCATCCCAATTACAATCTTACCGCATTTCGTTCACTGGATTGTCATTTGGGTTTGTTAAACTGGCAGTGGAGGTGCGAGGCGTTAGAATTGTCGTGCATTCTTCCTCCTCTTCCAAAATTCCGGGTAAGAACATCATCTGTTTCTCTTCGGGTACCCTGAAAAGATTGAGGAGAACCAATGTCGTTTGTCACATAACATAACGTTCAAGATTTTAATATTTATATATAAAAACGAATTTTGAATCTTACAAAACTATATCCTAAAAGATATAGAACTTGTGAGACCTTTACGAATAATATTTTACAATCAAGTCATTTTCATCAATTAATATAAATTAGATGTAAATTTGTAATCTGTTCTGTTTTAAAATAAAAAAATATTATACTAACAATAATAAGTTAATCTAAATTATTATATAAATAAAACGAATTAGTAAAGGATAGATGTATCTAATAATATTTTTATACATATATAAATCTAAATACATTTTCAGTTATATGAACTATATGCCGCTTACTGTCGGACTTAAAATGCAATCGTAAACTAAAACGGAAAAAAATAATAATATACAATTAAATTAATCATCGACTTGATGATGATGTTACCAGCATCTTAAAATACAGAAAAGAACTTATTGCGAAAAATAT